TGAAATTCCTGAAGACGAGCTACTTGGTAAGCCTGAACATCTTTGGTACCTACCCCATCATGGAGTTTATCATCCCAAAAAACCTAACAAAATAAGAGTCGTCTTTGACTGCAGTGCCAAATCTGATGGGTTGTCTATTAATGATGTTCTTCTCCAAGGCCCGGAGTTAGCCAACTCTCTCATCGGTGTTTTGACTCGATTTCGATCAGATCAAGTTGCTTTTATGGGATATGTGGAATCGATGTTCCATCAGGTGAAAGTTCCTCAGAAGCATCAGGACTATTTACGTTTTCTATGGTGGCCTGATGGTGACATCCACAATGAACTGAAAGAGTACCGCATGACAGCGCACACCTTTGGAACCGTTTCTTCTCCAACGATTGCAAATTATGCTTTGAGAAGTACTGCAAGTAAAGCAAGAGGCAAATATGATGACAACGTTGCACAAACCATTGAAATGAACTTCTACGTGGACGATTGTTTGAAGTCTGTAGAAAACGATGAAATAGCAACTGATTTGATTAGAAACCTGAGACAGGCATGTGCAGATGGTGGTTTCAATCTAACAAAGTTTACAAGCAACGGCAAAGCAGTGTTATTTACAATTCCTCAAGAGCACCGTTCAAAGGAAATACAAGCTGTTGATCTTAGCTATGATGTTGTTCCAATGGAAAGAGCATTGGGCATGCAATGGGACATTGCCTCGGATAGTTTTAAGTATATGGTGGACCTGCCTGAAAAACCATTCACTAGAAGAGAGTGATGGCAAAGTGAGAAGTGTGGTACTCAAGACAAAAGACTCGGAACTTCGAAGGCCAATTCACAAACTTGTCCTGCTTGTCCCAGCTGATGCTGAATAGTTATATACTGCAGTTGAATATCATAGTTACATCTTACATTTCCTTTATCTGTTAAACACCTTAAGTGTGTTTAAAGGGCTGAGTGTGAATATGCCAAGATGAAAGTTTTTTCTATTGATTAGGTTTATGATGTTAATTTGTTCAGGATGTCTCATGCTTCTCTGTGGTCCAGAGGATAAAGATGTAAACTTGAATTCCAGTAAGGTTGCTGGTTGTGAGTTCAAACCCGGGTTTCAGCAATGAGTTTTTTGTATAATCTGAAATGTATATTGAAGCCTCAGTTTCACTTCTTCCTGTCATGTGATCAGGTGTGAGCACACAATCCCCATGCATTAGATGGACATGTGCTGTGTGATCCTCCATGTTGCCTGCCGATTGTCACAGTCTGTATGAAAGTATGTTGGAGCACAAATGTAAGTTTTCTTTTTGTATTTCTGACATTTTGTGATGATAGGTAAATGCATGTATATGCTATTGTACTTCTTAAGTTGAAAAAGTGAAATTAATGCATATATATTAAGAAATGTCAAAAACATGTTTATATATAGAAAGTTAAGGTCTAAATGTCACAAACTACAATTTCTTTTACTTTGTATTGTAGTTTTCTAAACCTCGTCACCTCGTCACTTCGTCACTGGAGGCATCATTTCAATGTTAACAGTTCGTGATGCAAACGAAACTTTCAGTGTGAAACGTTAAACGATATGACATTGACAATAAATTCCCTGTGATGCGAGCGTTTCAGAGTTTTCGTGTTCTTGCATCTACATAAGTCATTCTTACAATCAAAAAATAAGTAAAGGCGTTCTTGAAAATTGTCTACAAAATGAGAATGCAATTCAGAGTACTTACAGTGGGCAGAGTTTATTGGAAGATATTTCTCTAGTGAGCAAAATGTCTAATTATCGATTATTACAGACTGACGAGTGCAGCTTTAATATTTCACTCATGCAAACTCAAACTGTATATCAGTCATTGTGGCCCTTGTACAGAGTTACTTTGGTTCTGAAAATATTTGTCAATTTATAGTTACATGCTGCAATTTAAGAGTTAGTATGCTTCCTGTAAATTGAGTCTGTTGGTTTTAGCACGTTTTGAGCAGTATTTCAGTTATATAAGAGCCATGACTGACCATATAATCTCAATCATTTACTTATCATCACCACACAGTCAACAGTGATCTGAAATCAATACAAACAGACATTTTTTGTTTTTTTAATAAGTTTGTTTTGTTTTTTATATATTTTATTTCCATAAATGAATCTGAAGCCCTTTGTAATGATATACGCCAGGTCAATGTTTCAGTTTCCAAAGACAAATCTTTTAAAAAAATGTTTGAATAAAACCTTTCAGAAATCTCATTTGGATTATGATGCTTCTTACCCTCCTGAAGTTTTAGGCTCTTCCTGTCAACGATTTCAGAGCGGAATTTATCTGTCGGACAGACGACAAACAACACGCCATGGCAAAGTTCTTTGCCATCAATTAATATTGACAGTAGTGGGTGCCTTCCCTTTGAAGAACACTATGACTGTCACTGTTGTCCATCTCTCCGATCTACAAACAGGTGATGTGACGCCATCTAAGGCGTACGATGGGACCAGACACCAGTCGAGGCATTGGCGTAGGTGATCCGGCAAAGTGACCAAGCTCCGTTTTTGCTGGCTAAGACAGCTGTAGACGTGTTCCCCTGCCCCTAGCACATGCCTATGACGGACGGATTGAGGGCATGTCAGTGCCAGTTGGATATATGTGTCAATCTTGTCCCATCGATCTGGAGATGCAGGAGACCGCTGGAGTTATCGAAGTGACCTACTATGAATGTCAAGCTCTGTGTCGGTGTTAGTTCCGACTTTTCAGTTGAGTAACAAACCAAGTTGGTGAAGCAGGCGCATGGTTGAAATCCTGTTAATAAAGGAGTTGATGCCTCTCTTGGTGGTTCATGAGGCAGTCGTCTATGTGCGACATGAAGCCGATACAACTCCGGTGTAGGAGACGATCGACATCGTAATGCGCGTGAATAACCACAGTGGCATTGAAATTCTAAACGGTAGAACTGCCCATTGGTAGTGGCCGTTGTTGTACTTCCTGTGTGCTTGGTGGACTGGAACATAGAGGTAAGCGTCTTCGAGACGCAGGGATCTGAGATGGTCGCCTGGACTGACCGACATGTGCAACAGCGTCAGCATGGTCATTCTGAACCATGTAGGGGTTCCAGGTAGCGCGGGTTGGACACCTTGATGTAGTCTTCTTGGGGACTGGGAACTAAAAGACAGGACGTTCAAGAGGTGGAGACATGGTCTGACATTCTGCAATGGGCATGTTGCTGTTCCTTTTGCTGGCAGCAAATATTTGTAACGTGGGAGTAAAAGGTATACCCCAAAATGACATAAAACCTAAGTCTAGTTATTAGTCCTGTGATGTGACGTCACGGTGGAAGATTTACGAGCGAGTAAAAACATATTACACACAGAAGATAAGTTTAATACTTGATAATATGTAGGATAAACGTAATAAATGCAATCAATGTTCATATTAAACATGGATCACGCTGTCGAGAAAAACATTAGCGCTACCTGCCAACAAGAGAGATGGCGGCCAATATAAAAAAAACACGATCCGAAGTAGTGGCAGGGATTTTTTACTTCATTGAGTTGAATATGCTAAATACTCAAGTCTGATGAGACAAAATGGATGGATAACACACCATCTGAACAGTTTGAAAATCAAACATCAAAGGATAGATTCTTCGAAAATCTAGGTAAGATATCGTCTCTCAAGCCATGCTATGTCAGCGAAGAAAGAATAATGAGTGAGTGAGTTCATGCTTTACGTCACATCGGCAATGTTTCAGCCATATCGTGACGAAGAAGAGAATAAAGACATATAGGGGGCGTGTGTTCTGACACCAGATGTCACGCTTGTCATGGAAGTCATGTTGGGCAAAAGAGTTACTGAAGACGCAACAAGATCGTCACTCATTTCCAGTTAGACTTCCTTTGTAAGAGAAGTGTGCAATAAGTAATGAAGGATAAGTTGCAAATATATAATTTTCGAACCGTGCCGCGTGCGTAGAGTGACGCTAGTGTTTACTGACATCAGAACCAAGTCGGACGCAGGTCAGGACGATGATAATGCTGAATAGAGGTGCAACAGCAAATTGTAGGGAAAATTAGTTTCAATTTAAAGTGTCAAAGTCTGCAGTCTACTGTTAAAGAGCTACCTCTATTCAGACAATGAATGATGATGGATTCGTGGCGGGCCAGATAATGTATATACGCGGTGCACTGAAGTTAACCATCTATTCGTAGTTACAACAGAGACTGCTCCACTTACCATAACCAATCTCAGTTCTAGATTGTCCTTCATTGCCTCTGGCGACAATCCCCGCTAGTAACAGCTCATCTTGCATTAGTTGGGCTCAAACTCTCACCCGAAATTCAGAGAACGTTCACTTACCTCCGATTTTCAGGCATCTTGATTTCTGTCTATCTTACAGGATGCAACTTACATTTCAAGATATATATTACGTGTTAGGCTAAGGGAGGTCACTCACGATCTAACGTTAGGGACAACGTAACTGTCCGCAGTATGCACAGGTAATGATGCTTGGTGTTTAATCGCGTTTTGGTGTTTTTCATTGCCAATATGGAATTTGCGCATCATAGTATTTGCTCGCGTGATCCACTTTCTTCATTAGCTGAAGAACGTCAACAAATACAACTTAAATCCTAATATGCCCATCCGTGGGTTTGAGGATAAGTGACTTTGACGACAACAAGCCTCTGGTCAAATCACTAACCTTTACTGGTGAGAAATACTCTATATAACTGTAATTCCTCCCTTGTGTTTGTTTTGCTTGTCTTAGAGTGCGGAAATCTATGTCTGTTTCACAAATATCTAAATTTTAGTCCAAACATTGAACAATAAAGCGTTTTAAACTGAGTGGTGTGCCACTGTTTGCAGATTCTAAACAGTAGTGAATTGTAAGCTGTGATTGTTCTGTACACATTTGAATGTATTGATGATATGTTTTCATCGATGATTTGTCCTGGTCACTATATACTTCATATCTTCAAGATGCATTGTTAGATAGAACTCCCTTAATCTCAAAACTGGTATTATGAATATAAAATTTACCTTCAACTCGTAACTTCTTTTTCAACGCCTTCGGGATAGCAGTGCTTTTCAAGGTCACGACGCATCTGTAATCTCCTTCGTCATTCTTCGTCACACGTGTTATGTTAAATCCAACATTGCCGGGACTTTGCAGGACAAAACGACGAATGTACTTTTTGTTGATATGGAGTACATCCTGTAAAAGGAACGACTAAAGGTATTTAGAGACAACAAGCTCAAATAACTCATTCAATAAAGGGATGGATTCACAATGAAGGCCAGATGTATGAGAGGAGTGAGTGATGTAAGTTTTGATTCTGAGTCTGTACATGATTCACACATCTGAGAGTAAAAGCATGAGGATCGGCGAGTTACCATGTGTGACCTGGCTGATTTTGTGTAATTGTGCTACAACGGTGTGGAACGATTCCCAGGCCATCCGTCACTGGTTTGCTTGGCCCAGTATCTATTATTAAGTGGTTGACCTGAAGCTGGTTCATTGACTATGTCTTATTGAATCCGTGCGGTGAACCTAATACCTCTGCCACAGCTATGTTAATATTATCTTGTTTGTTGACAAAACTATTTCAGCTTCTTCATTGTCGCTGGTGTAGTACAATATCGTTAGAAACAAGCGAAAAAGTACATCAAATTATTCCGAAAGGTACAGACCACCATGTCTGTATAAAACCAATCTACATTGTTATATGGAAGTGTATTTTATTGTTTAACAATGATTTTAACTGTTATAATGTTTCTTTTGAGATTCGGTACACGCTTATTGCATTGTGTTTGGACAGTGATTTCTCGTGAGGAATGTAGTACTATTAAAGGTAAGCAGTAAGTTACTGTATTTAGATAAGAGAGTTGTATAATAACTTCCGGAAATGGCGTGGCTCGCCCAGCATTGTATGGAGCCTCACAGCATTGTTTCTCACACACTCTCTCACACATTTCGTCTCGCATGCATTTCATCGCTTTTGAACCAGCTTGCACGTGAGGATCGCTCATCATCCCTGATTCCCTGCCTTACCCATCACGGACGCTTGATAACTGTCGACGCTGGGTGAATATATATTATTATCACCGATTTTGCTCTCACCACTATATTTTGGTATTTCATACTGACCACTGCCTTCATAATTTATCATCCCAAACTGGCGCCAACAGGAGATATCGCTTGGGTGAGATGAAATGAAATTGCATCACAATGCTTTGCAGACCATTGTGATGTCATCGATAACCCTGATGTCACAATCAAATGACATCACTAACGGCTCTGATTCTGAAGCTGTTAGCAGTACTTTTTACACTCAAGACACTGCTTATTACTGTCTACAAACTGAAAACGTTAGAAGAATGATGTTGGACGATAAACAAAATCTCACCCTCGTGTCTTTTGATATCAAAAGACACTCAGGTGAGATTCTCTATATATGCCGTTGAATATTGTACTACCACTCTGTTTACTGCCATTGTAATTGCTGTGCAGTAATTTGCATTGATTTGAAAACTTTGTGAATTTTGCAATACATTTCTTGATTTTATACCACTTGTTGGTTGTTGTTTTTTGGTTTCACACTGTTCTTTTACGTACACGATTCTGGGTTAACATATTGTTTCAATTTGTGAATGGACACGTAACTAAAATCAGATCTTTTACTCAGACGCGATACCTGTCTGCATATAGATCTGACAATCCCTGGGGTAGTGTCAGATGAACTTTCTAATCAGCCTATCAGCATCGAGGTTTGTAAAGTTTCGGTACGAGCAAATGACGCATTCAGAGCAGCCTATATTATTTCTGTATCTTGACAACTATCATAAACGAGCAGTTCCGAATAGAAATAATATATTTGTATTATGTGGATATTTTACACACTTTCCGATTTTGGCGCAAAGCCATCTATTCCAAATGGGGAGTGTTATCGACAGGACATGCATATTTTTTCTCGGTTTCTTTTGTTAAGGTCGATATTTTCGAATCGATGTGGAAAGGAGACGAAACCTTTTTTTTAAAAAAAACCAAATGGTTTAATAAAGCTAACATCTGATAAACTCAAGAACCATCGCACACTTCGGTTAAATTGGGCAATCTCCCGGTTCACCTGACGCGACTTTTTATTTAGGGTTTGTTTGATCTTCACACAGAGAGGTATCCCGTGTGAGTACAATATCCCTCCCTGTCCTGTAGTAGTAGTAGTAGTAGTAGTAGTAGTAGTAGTAGTAGTAGTAGTAGTAGTAGTAGTTTGTACAGATTAAAATAAAAAATGTAGCAAAGAGAATGTTGGTGATCCTGGCACAGTCAGGCTGGTTAGGCTCATAATCAACTGCCCTCTCTACACCAGCCCAGTCAGAGAATGTGAAGACTCCCCAACACTGCAGCCTTCTGCATTACCCAGATTGTCAGAAGGGCCAATATTCCTGGTAGCAAGCTCGAGTACTCTCCCGATGTCAGTCAACAGATTGGGCGGTAAAAAAACTTAGGCACCGAGAACAATGGAGGGTCGGACAACTTGGTACTTGTTATCGGCCGATTTATTTATAACACATCCCATTTTAATTCTGGAAACCCAATAGTCCAGAAATTCTACGGTCAAAGGTATTTACAAAATTAAACATGCTGTTTTCATGGGAACATACCAAGGAAGAAAAAATGAAAAAATAAATGTTCAAGAACTCAATATTTAAACTATGTGGCCCATGGGCCTGCCCATGGGTGAATTGTGGCCCAAGGGCCTGCCCATGTGCGAAGAGTGGCCCATGGCTAGGCCCATGGGCGAGAATATGTTCCTTTACTTGAAACTCATGTTTTTGTTTCGCAAATACATAAATGTTTCAACTTAAATCAACGATTTTATAGCGATATTGAAATATTTCGCCCATGGGTGAGAAGAAAGTTTGGCCTACGGGCAGGCCCATGGGCGAGAATATTTTCCTTTGCTCAAAACGCATGTTTTTGTTTCGCAAATACATAAATGTATTTCTTTCAAGTATCAATTATTTTCTTATTTTTTCTTCCTTCAAATCCCTACTCCTCTGAATTCCCTGCACAAAATGCATTCAAACTCATTGCGAATTGTCTCCATGCATAATGGATTTTGATTTTAATCTTTTTTTTTTTCACCCAAAATTTAACTTTAAAGATCATATCTTGCAAGGGCCTGCCCATGTGCGAAGAGCGGCCCATGGCTAGGCCCATGGGCGAGAATATGTTCCTTTACTTGAAACTCATGTTTTTGTTTCGCAAATACATAAATGTATTTCTTTCAAGTATCATGACACAAAATTTAACTCGTTTCAACTTAAATCAACGATTTTATAGCGATATTGAAATATTTCGCCCATGGGCGAGAAGAAGGTTTGGCCTACGGGCAGGCCCATGGGCAAGAATATTTTCCTTTGCTTTGTTCTATGTCTGTGGTCATCGGTCACCTGATTTGGCAGCCATATTGGATTCAAAGTTTTTACAGGGTTTTGGGGTACCTGTCTTCAAATCCCTACTCCTCTGAATTTCCTGCACAAAATGCATTCAAACTCACTGCGAATTGTCTCCATGCATATTGGATTTTGATTTTGATCATTTTTTTTTTCACCAAAATTTTACTTTAAAGATCATATCTGTTGTTGACAGAAAATATTGCAAGTTTACATGAATTAAGTGTGCAATACATACTATTATTTGTTCTTGGTTGCATGCTAAAGGTAACACCGCTAGGTGGTAATATTTGAGACACCCCTGGAAAACGCCAATTTCGTAGCGGCGATTTCCGGTGACTATTTTTGGACAGAGTTGTTTCGAGATCCAAATTGGTTAAGAACAGACTTGGACACCCCGGCACCCGCCAATTTCGTAGCAGCGATAGCCTACAAGTGGTGCCTACATTTGAGGATTTGGTACAAGGAAACCCTTTGAGGATTATTATTATTATAATTATTATTATTATTATTATTAGATGTTTATGCATAGGGTACATATATATCCATAAGGCTGTGGACGTGGTGAAATGCTATGTTGTGATCGGTTTTGGAGTTTGGAATTGGGGAATCAGTCATTCAAAAATTTACTCTCTAATACACTTGGTCGGATCATATCGCTCATTACTGATGACAACATAGACAACCATGTCATATGACCTACAAGAAACCTGTCCTTGGCAAATCACTGACTGGTCATGTCACCAGAGCTGTTGGTATGTATTTTACTAATCATCCAGTATGAAGTTCTTCTTCAGTCTTCGACTGAATGTGGTTACCTTTGACCTTCCTCATTTCGACCTTATCGTGTATATGCTATTGTTCTCAATGTATTTGATGCAATATTCTTCCAGGATAATTAGTATAATCTTAAGATGAAAAGAAAAGAAAATGTGATAATTATATTATCATGTTTGAATATTTTAAACGACTAATGAAGCAAACGGCTGCCTTAAACGGCTGACTGTATGAATATAAATATTCCGAATTGGTCTTACATGAAACACATTAAGTCAAACATGTGCCTATCAGCCTCAAAATATCTTTCTGTTTTACTTTCGTAAATGATTAGTGTCTCGCAACGCTTTATTTTATGTTTGTAATAGTCCAGTTTACATACCAGTGAAAACGATGGTTCAGATGTCTCAGCAATTTGTGTATTCTCAAAATACCATTCGATTGCAAAGAAGGGCGGGACTTCATAGTCCCAGGTAAAACAGGCATTGTCCCCTGCAAGCGAACTGGTCACATTCATCGTTTGGTCGCTGGAGTCTGCAAGTTCTGAAACGGCGTTAAAACAAAGGTGATGACATCTCCTTTATTCCTTGTTAACAAAAAACCACCCAAATACATGTTTCCTTCTGATTATGTTTTCAATTACGTCTTAAATGCAGGCAATTCGTTCCTCTCAGGAGGGACATACATCGACACGTATCTTAGATGTTGTCACAACTAGAAATATATTCATTTTTGGCCTTTAATTATTAGCGTTTAAAGTTTGTATACCAATCATGAAAATAACTATCCAACAACGTTACCAGTGGTTTGAACATATAATAGATAGAGAGCATCAATGAGAAAATGGCAATTTACCAGAGAGAAAATAAGTTCAAATTGAGTTTTAAATAATGCTGATGTCCATAGAAACAATATAGTGTGAGTGTGTGAGTTTGGTTTAACGTCTCTTTTAACAGTATTCCAGTTATATCAAGGCGTGTCAGATTAATGTGGGAGGAAAGCTCGAAGTGATGCAGGTCTCAGACGTTGACCACTTTGGTGAAACCCGCGAGCACGGGTATGGTGCTGACAAACCTAGATCCATAATCGGGGCGAACCGGGATTCGAACCCACAATCATAGGTTTCTAGCGCCCAAGGGACGCAACTCTGCACGGCGAATCGCGGGGCTTTAGACGACTGGGCCACCCGTGCCCCCAGAAACAATATGGAAACAAACTACAACAATATGTAAACTGTATGTAAAACACAAAAACCTTTGACATTTATTTGAAACATTATTTAATAAACGAGAATTCAATCCAAATAGTTTTGTGGCAAGAAATACCAAACATATACATTGTTATCATTCCACAAATTTACCTTGAATCTTTTTGTATATATGTTTTTGGATAAACCACTGTCGCCACGTGTATTTTCACACCTGTGTGAAGCTACGCAATAACAGTACTTTTTTTACTAGCAAGTGCAGATACAGCTTTCAGCAACAGGTGCTTGAATTTAGTGATTTGGCAATTTGTGTTGAGTACCTGGGACAATGGATCACTAAATAGTGCAAATATGGGAGTGCATTTCTAAATATAATCTTTTTGAGAATAATTATAACTTACCTACATTTGATTAATAGCCTATTGTATGGTGACATAAAGTGACTATAAAACATGACGAAGTGTAATTATTTACTTACATGTGAAATAGCAAATTATCCTTTGAAGACCATGTACAACGGTACTACTGATATTAAATTTAAAATAAATACAATTCAACGCAAATGAACAGTTACAATATACAAGAATATATATTTAACTTCGTTTATGGGGTAAAACGTCCAACATTAGCTCTAAAGAGCTATCCTTTCGACATAAAATAAAAACATTTTCACATGGACAGAGTATTAAAATGACAATGAAGAAGACAGAAAATGAAGAAGAATAACATAGCAGTGGAGCTGACAGGGGGGATCATGTACTGTATTTACAAACTGAGCATATGGGGCCCTTCCAATTCCCGAACAGACTGCAGAAATGTATGTATAATTCCTATTTACGGAGCTCATTCGGAATAGTTCGTTTGTTCTCAGGTTATTCAGCTGTGAATGTAGCTTGGAGAAACATTGTTGATTATTTTGAATAATTCCCGAGCAATGTCCTTTATTCAATTTATATGTAGAAAAGAAGTGCCAACCATAGTTAATAGACTGGGAAGTAAGCTGTTATAATCATCATAAACATTTCTAAGTGCTCTCTCCTGAAATGTATCCAATTTTGTTGTTCTGCATTGTTGCAGAAGAGCCTGCAGTATTTAAATTTGATGAAATGAAGGTTCTGTAAATGACAATCTTCCCCTGCCTGGTGAGATAACAGCCCATGAGGTTATAAACTGCAAGTTGTTTTGCAGTTTTTCTGCATATTTAAGCGATGTGGCTATAAAACGTTAGCAGGGGTTTGATAATCACACACAGCAGGTCAACACTGTCATCACAAGCCATTTCTGTGTTACCAAAAGTAAAAGCTTTAATAGCAGAGCGACCTTTTCCCCAGGCTTATTGCCTGAAACTCCTCTGGGTTGCACGGTTCATGTTGTGCACATGCATTGCCTGTAACCATGTACTTTAAATGCACATCCATCCATCCACTTCGTTCAGAGCAGAAAAATGCAACGACTGACGAACTCCCATAGAAACACGGTTATAGGAATGCTTCACACCGGAAGTGCACGGACGGTGTGTACGACCGCCGCAGGACCACAGGACCACATGACTTCCTGCGTCGCCGGAACATCTGTTTCATGGATTGGCCAGTCATGTCTCCAGACAGGAACCCGATTGAACAGCTGTGGGATGAACTCGGACGACGTGTGCGGAGTCACAAACCAACGCCCTAAACTGTTGGGCCCTGCTTTCGTCAGAGTACTTGTGACGTCACTGACAGTGATACTGATATGGACGATGTCCCGGAAATGTTCACTGATGACTGTTTTATCGCATATTTTTCTTATTAAACTTATTTGTCATGTGGATGGTTCAGTTATCATCTGTTGGTGACCACAACATATAGTTTCAGTACATATAGTCTTTTTGATTGACATCACTTTAAACAGTGACAATATCAATGTTCAATTGCTTAAATACAACTACAAAACATAGCACACCTGTGTATGATGTAAGAAGGAACCACACCAGTATGATCAGCTTCAAATCTGAAAATCAAAACATAACAGAAGTCAATTTAATCTACATCACGTTTCAAATCAATTAATAAATCTACAGGTAACCTACCTCTACATTAAACCACAGTATGTTTATCGCCTTATTGGACAATACTGAACCAGCTATACATATCATTTAGGAGCAATGTGATTCTACTTCATAGACAAATTATTTTGTTTGTTTGGAGGGCTAAATGTTAGTATTATAAAATGGTTTTCTTAAATTAATCTTTCAGATAGCTATCAATGAGGTGACTAACTTGATCATTCAAATGAGAGCGTTTTGCCATATGACCTACCTGTTTTCATTGGTTCGACCTTGCAGGGAATTTGCCTGAGTGCCGACATTTATTGATAAGTTCAATAATATACTACTCATAAAAAGTTAAAGAACGCCCGATTTATTTATATGACTTATGTTAATATTGCATGACACGAATAGTCATAAATTGGTTGTTCTTTAATCGGTGGTAGTGAAACAGTTCTGCTCTAAATGTTCAGCAGATTGTATTTTTGGGTGTCCAGACTGATATAAGCTCACACTTTAAATTTCAAGGACTGTTCACCTTGTTCGGTATTGATGTCTAACAGGAGTATAACAGGTTTTGACTGAAACTGCTATTTTAACATTTGACTTTGAAAGCACGACTTGACTGCTATTTTAACATATGAAGGCACGACTTGACGTCTCCATGAAGCTATTGGCGAATGATAAAGATAATGATAAATGTTGTAACACTGAAGAGCAGATAAATGAAAGAGTACTTTGAATTGTGTCATCCAACATAACTTTTGGCGTCAATATCGTTTTCTTATCAATATCCTAACAACAAAATTTCATCATTTAAGGGAAATTTATTAAACATGACAGTTAAAATTATCTAGTTGCCTAAGTTTATTTATCAGTATGTTGAGTATTTACTTTTCACAAGGCGCAAATTTGTAATTTGACAAACATGTATTTATGTCAATAATTATTTTTGTTGAAGGTGATTTGGTATATAATCACATCCAAATGTATGGTACGGACTTTTATAAACCTCAAATATGTTTTTGTTATTTTTGTTATATATTTTTAGCATTGGCAAACACAGAACTAAAGTCGCAATTACAAGGGGTGGTGAAACGTATGTGTGTTAAGTAGGGAGAATTTACATTTAAAGGTTTTACATTTGTAATTATACAATTTAATTTTCCATAAGACTACACAAAAAGTATATCTTAAATTCGATCCTCTATCATTATATTGAAAAATCTATTTTTGAGAATCTGACCTATCATAACCGTATCATAGATATGAACATAAACGATAATATCTGCACTGTAGCTCACCTGGATATATAGTCAACAATTTGCTGTCAGCATTGGCATTCAAATATCTTTCGGCATAACTACTGAAGATTAAAAACTATCACTAACATTTAAGGAGCAACATACATGGCAAAGTTCAGTTTCCTCGGTCTGGTAACTTCAGAGGAGATGTTTACAGAGCAAACAAAGGCATTTATCCTAATAAATCGCAGAAAAACACACATATATGTTGAGCCCCAATATTGACTACACATGTACAAAATGTCATTATATTTTGAGCACAAATGACTGTGCAATGGCCATTAATACAGTTTTAAAAGCAGCTACTGTTGCCACCATATAGAAAGTAGATTCAAACCTATCGACCAAATTCAGGTATGAACAAGCATATGAAGTTTTAGCTTCATTGGTCCAGTAGTTTCTGAGGAGAAACTGTTTACAAATGACGCCGACGACAACGGACGACGGACAAGCAAGTGAGCTTCATTGAAGTTTCTACTCATCCACTCTGCATGTTCATTAAACTGATTAAACTCCAATCCGCATGCCACATACTGCATATCATGAATGTACATGAGGACGCTTTTTAAGAAGCTGCTTCTGACACTGTTCAGATTGGGATTCTGTGAGAAACTTGAAGAGTTAAATGAAGGAGCATTTGTGTACCTACTTGACAAAAGCTGAATTTTCTTTACCAGCCGGAAATTTGCATCACTATAATCCATGATATCCATTTGGAGATCATCAAACGTGCTCGTACACCTGCAAAAATTTCATTGTATATGAACATATTCCTTTATCTATTTTGACACCAAAATAGAAACATCCCACCAAATGTAAAATACACCCAATGAATCAAGTTTGTGCATCCAATATCAAAGAGGTGGAGAACAACATGCTCTCAGTGATATTTTTATGCATGTAAATATTTCGTGAAAAACAAGACAAAAATCGTATTTGGGGGGAGAAGTGTAATAGTGTAATAGTCACAAAGGTAAGATATCTCATGTTGTTGTCATCGCACGTCAATTCCAGTTGTCTCTGTGAAGCTCCTCGATATCTCATGACCTCGACTTTCTCAGTAGAAACATAGAGTAAACCAAATCGATTCAGTCCACCGTTTTGGTCTATATTTTCAAAATCATCAAAGTAATTGGACATGTCCCTGAGAACAGTAAGCCTTGCGCCGAGAAGCCAACATACTGTTGCAGCTGGTAAATTCTTTGTCAGACATTATGTTTGTGTTGAGAGAATGAGGATGTTCTTTCAGTGTTGGGTTTATGGCAGCTCTTAGGGACATCAGGGTACCAGGCGTTGGTAGTTCCGATTTTCTTGTCCTAAATGCAGCATAAAACTTGCGAAGAATTACAGCCAGGTCACTTGATGCGATTTAGTCGAAATCAACCTCCAGCTGTCAGCGAATACTTAAATCTAAATAAAGTAAGTAAAACATTGTGAGCTTTAGTGCACTCCCACATTAGATTGAGTAGGCTGCATGTATTTCAAACAGATGTACAAATAGATGAATAATGTATAAACTGATTTCACAGCATTTATTGACCTTGATAATATAAATCTCATTAAATTTCTACTCACCTCTAAATGCTCTGATTTACCAGGTTGCAATGTATTTACTGATTTTTCTTCCATCTGCACCCTGTCTATTTTTTCTTCATATACATTGTTTTTTGCTATCATTCAAATCAATAAAATTGACTTCCTCAACCCACAAAATGTCAGTAGGTTCGTAAAGCACTCAGACAGTCATGCGAGATGTTTTGTCAACACCAATCGAATGCAAATCAACTGATAGCATGCGCTTATTGTGACGTCAAATAGCAATATGAACAGATAGCATCCCGTCGTTAGGGAAATATGCAGGCTGCTATCACGTTACAATGGCTTAATATGAACAGATAGCATCCCGTCGTTAGGGAAATATGCAGGCTGCTATCAAGTTACAATGGCTCGCAGATTTCTGATAATGCTATCGATTTTGTCACCAAAATCACTACCTCTATTACATCATAGCCTCAATTCCAGCAATTTGGCTAATGTCACACTAAAAAATCCCTAGATTTTCCACAGACGTCCATTTCACTGTCAGCCATCCCAAGTTAGGTAAACCATACCTCGTGCAAAATCCTTTGAAAACCTTAAGATAATTTACAATACCTTTGATACCTTCACTGTAAATACAGTGATATTTGGCATCGTCATGACGTCATTTCCTGCAACCTGACATTACTTCCCTCTATGATGATGAAGAGGAGCTCCCATAAAAACAGACAGAACGATAGCACTTTCACATCTCCCAGTTGTCCGAGAATGCGCTGGCTTAACTGGAACCTGGCCACAACGTACACGATTTCTTGTATGGACCGACACTCTGACATGGTTGGATGAACAAAAAAACCTAGGTAGGACAGCAGATGTATCAAAAAGATCGTGTTTCGACGGAGCTGCTGCTTGTCTACATTGGCTGAGATATAGCTCATATAGCCTTAGAAGGACAAGGGCGGTGATAGGAGTTGTTATCCAAGAGAATAACCATGGGTCTATCGATATGCAGAATGGGCAGCAGAATGGAGATCAGGATGTACAGGGACATGGAGATATGCGTCCTGTAAATCTAAGTTGACTGACCAGTCACACGTCCTGAGAGCGCTCCTGAGCTTTCTGGTCGATTCCATGTTCTCCCAGCTGTTGATAGTTTAACACCTCCACCAGTCATTACATGATATTCAATTTTGCAGCAGCATAAAAAGTAACTGTTATTACCTGCAACTTTGTGCAATATAACAGGAGCTGTAGTTTCATATTTTGCCACAAACTTTCATTTAACGGGGTCAAGACATTTCCTCTCAAGGACAATTACCTGCTGAAAGTGGGACATTTCCCCACATCCGATGTTTTGTTTTGTTTTTGTAAGAATTAATAAGAACAAAATGGTTGGTGCATCAGGATATCTTGCCAGAAGGTGTTGTTCTAACATATACTACTAATTATAAGAGAATATTGGAAATGAATATACACTGCCATGTTGTCTCTAAATAGGATTTGTGATCTTAACGAATGACTGGTTGTGACCATGTAGACAGAATATCATTAGGGTTTGTGATTTTTCCACTTCCGTGCTGAGTATTGGTGCTTGGGGATGTATATTCTCAGCAGCAAGTTTGTTTGTTTGGATCTTCACGTGAAGTAAGCACCAAAGTGTTATATGTGTCGACGAGTTCAGTGCAATAATCTGCACACTGAAGAAGAGGTATGCTAAAGTCTGCTATTCGAACCAATTGGGAAGCAGAAAAAGCTAGGATGACCTGTTATCGGACCAGAAAACACACATTCTGTTCAGTTAACTTTGTTGAGAAAGTTAATCTTGAGAAATTTTATGATTTTGAGACCCTCGGAATTCAGGCAACTAAATGGGACTCTACGAGAGACGTGATGTCAAGCGAAGACTGCAAGGCACTTGCATCAAGCAGGGAGACACATATGAGATAGGTCTTCCATGGAAAAAGGATCCATCATCATTACAAAACAACTCTTTTCTCTGGAACGCAGTTTTTGGAAAAAATAAGGAAACGCTAAGATCTACTATGATGGTCCATCTTTCCTGAAACTAGCAGTTAAGCAGTGGCCAATATAACCAACACATGATGTAGTTAGGGATGAAAGTAAACATAAATGTGTTGCTTCGTGCATCTCAGTGTTACCTGAGATAGATGACGCGTCAAGCTGGTCGCGGCTTTTGATGACTATTACGGCCTATTGTCTGCAGTTCATCCACAGACTACAAGACAAAATATGAAGGTCTCACGGCAGACTGAGTCTGTAATTTATCTGCAGTATCGTGAAGTACCTGCAGCTGAATTGTTCTCGTTGAAATATACACAAGCGAGAATGGTCGACTGGGAAAAGGATCTCATTGATCTGGGTCAGTTGTGGCATCTTCCGTTTTGGAGGCAGATTGCGACATTTCCCCTTGCAGTATTGTCAGATCCAGCCTATTTTGGTACCGGCACGTCACTTCATTTGCACACTGATAATGCAAAATGTACATGTGAAAATGGGTCATGCAGTACCAGAGAGGTCATTGTGTGAATGTCAGAGAACATTCAGGATTGCTTGAAGAAGGAGACTTGCCAACGGTGTCGTCAGAATTCGAAATTGTGTTGTTTGTAGAAAGCTTCGACAACCTCGCCATATAACCTTCATGTCAAACCTCTCTCATGTCAAGCCTGAACCTGGATAATATTAGCTTAACGACAGCGTCGGTAGTACCCTGACACTATCGGTTGCATACTTTATATTTATTTATTTATTTAATTACAAAATACGTGGAAACAGACTAGAATGGAATGGAAACATTGAAACATACTTCATAATTAACATATCGTATCATAAATTACTGGATATTTTTAAGACACTAAGCTTAACGTAGCTGGCTCACATTTGAACGATTGAAAAATGTAATCAAATATGATTCACATTTACCTGTTAATCTCATTCAACATTAATGATGTAAAATTTACACCAACCATAATCTCGTTCAACCCTTGCATTTTGCAGACGTCCACTATGTTCTGGAAAAATATGTCCCTAGTTGGGCCATCATGTGTCAGTTTAAAATAGGGTTATACTGATAATTTTGTTGTCCCTCAGCATTGGGCTGAAAACCTCAGTAACTGTCTTGCTACAGGACGGCGTAAGCAATATTTTGAACAGCTAGTACGTGTCAATTTGGTGGTGGTCGCACCTCCGCACCTCCATCTTCTAAGTCTCGCATCATGATATTATAATAACATTCCTATCAAACCTGTTGTCGGGTGCAAGAACCATCTCCATGGCCATGAATGGAAGTTGCATAACCTGAAACATGTAACACCTATCGAACGAAAGGAAATATCCTAATATTTAAGTTTACAAAAACGAGTTGTGTTCCAGTTATATGCCGTATCATACATATGCCTCAATATCATCATGTTTAGGTAATCTATATCAACGTAATATGCAACTTTATAATAGTTATCTATGACCTATAGATTCTAGTATATGTTCGTTTTTTTATATAACTGACATATGAAAAACATATAATTCCTTAATTTTGGCACGACCAGACCCAATCTTAGAAATTTGCATAACCCGTTGGGCTAGTTGATCCCCTTCTTCTTTCTGATATTTCTTTAACGCCCTTTATTTTATTTTATCATGGAGTGTACTTTGGGGGATAACATTCATGTAGAATACAGCAGCTTTTCTTTCAGACATGGCCCCGTGAAAACCCGGATAGAATAGGTCTTCAGCAACCAATGCTTGCCGTAAAAGGCGACTTTGCTTGTAAGAGGCGACTAACGGGATGGGTGGTCAGGCTCGCTGACTTGGTCGATGCATGTCATCGTATAACAATTACATGGATCGATGCTCATGGTGTCAATCACCTGATATTATATATTGTCTGGTCCAGATTCGATTATTTAGTGACCGCCGTGAGGTATTGGAAGATTGTTGAGTTCGGCGTTAAACAACAAGCAATCATTCAGTAAACATTTCTGAGCGAGCGGTGATTGCTTCAACTGCCGTTTTTAGATGTCCAAGGTTGTATGAAGGTTGAGCCCGCTGTAGGAGGATCTGGCCCCGATTTATCGAAACAAACTTAAGTTCAAAAACTGACTTAAGTCTGAGTTTTTACTCAAATTTGAGTTTACAATTTAAGTTAGGTAGTGTATGCAAATCTAACTCACTGCAAATGG